AGCCTCTGGCCCAGCGATGGAGAGGTCGGGACTTGCCCCGAGGCCGCCGGAGAAAACACGTAAAGGACACTTCCCCCTCCAGATAGTTTATATGCGCAGCTACGCTGGAGCCGGCCCCATCCTATTTATATCTTTTCAGAGTCTTTGATAACCAGGGAGTCGAGCGCAGCCCAATGCCAGCACTCACCCGGTTATCTCTCAACTCGTGGAGCTCTAAATACGCTCAGCGAGAAGAGCCCTGTCGAGTCAAAGTCTAAAGGACAGAGAGCGAAGTACAAAATATTCTAGAAAAGAAAGGAAAAAAGCAGCTGTCCTCCAGTCCTGCGGCCAGTCTCATCCCTAAGGCTCCTGGGCATCGCTGCGGTGTAGGCGGCGTGTAAAGCCGTGTGGCCGCCCTCTACGAGCCCGTTGATAAGGAGAATCGCACGGACTCGCCGTGCCAACCGCGAGAAGGGCGATACTGAGCCGCAACAGCATCAACTTCCAGCAGTATTTCCAAAGCAACGTCCTGATCTGGCCGTTACTTTCATCCCGCTCGAGGATCCGCTCGTCCCGAAACCCCGGCGCCCCGTACGGCAGTGCTGCTCTCGAAGCCGAGCTCGGCACCCACCCGACGGGGACGGAGCCCGATTTATTGCGTCTCCCACAGTGGTACCGAACGAGCGCGCGCTCACCTTGATGTGCAATTTAGCTTTCGTTAGTAAACTCAGGGTGGTGTGTCTGCTGGCTTCGGGTCCGAGCGGTACCAGCCCTTTCAGCTTCTCCAAACACAACCGCAGATGGGCACGCCTGTAAGAAGATCACACGACACGCTGAGCGTTCAGGTACCCGCTTCCCAAACGGCGTTTCACCCCTCCGAGTGTGAATCGGGGTGGTTGGGAGCTAAGCCGAACCAGACGCCTTCCCACCCTCCGGCGGCTTCCGTACGCTGGGCAAAAACTGCGGCCAGACAAAAGGACCTCTCCAAAAAACCCGACTCCAGCTTTGGCCAACCCCACCGGCAAAATCCTGCCGGCGCCTTTCGGGCTGTCGGGACACTTGCTGGCAAGGAGCTGCCAAAAACCTCGACTTTTTGGCCGAGGATATCCGCTTTTGGTCTTTCTCCTCCCAAAAAGCTCCACTACAAGGATGCTGTTCGGTCACCGCCTTGCTCCACCGACAGCTGAAGCTGTCCACGCAGCTGTAAACCCAGCGCGTCCCTTGGGACTGCTTCCTTTCCCTATTTTTTAGTGGGAACGGGCTGTTTTTTTCTGATCCATCACCTTGGCACACGCAGCTCCGGTCAAAACAAAACCAAGTCGTCGAGGGAACGCCAGCCCCGAGCAGCACCACGCTCCTCGGCCGCCCCGGCGCAGGAGCCTGCCGGGAATCCCTCCCTCCCCGTATAACACCCAGATTTTGTCTGCGTTAACACGTAGGCTGACGCTTTACCGCTTGCATACCACTGCCGAGGGAGACTCTGGCTCCTCGAGGAAGTCCCTTTATCCGTCGATAACCGAGGTGCTGCCAGCATGGGCCGGTTTCCCTCACGTTCGACACTCCAACCCCAAGATTTAGGTCACATTCTTGGGCATCGGTTGCAACACCCGCCTTTGAAATACCCCATCGACACAGGCAGCTGCAAATTGGGATTTTGCAAGTACCTGCCTATCTTGTTTTGGGCACGCTAGGAGTAAACAGGCATTTGCCTACACAAAGTACCTTCTGAATTACAATGCAAACAAAACACGTGGTCTTTACCGTTCGGGTAAATCCCAAACACCGAGAGGCTCAAAGTTGAACCTTTGCAAAGATTATTTTCCTGAGCAGGGGGAGGAAGAGCTGCCCGGAGCGGTGCAGACCTGTCCGACCATGCCGTGCCGGCTTACAAGTGATTTACCTACAAGATCTACGGATAAGGAGCTAGCCCAGCCGCGCTCCACGAAGGCGGCGGCAGCAAAATCGAAACCCTCGGCTACCTCTGCTAAAAAAAAAAAAAGCCTTGTCACGCTGGCCGTTCGCACCAGAAAAACAACGAATGGAAAAAACCAGCCCGGCCTGCCGAGCAGAAGTTACGCAGGGGGGAACACAGCAGCAACCCGCCCCGCTCGGCCAGCGCCGAGCAAGTTTCTGGATTACACAACGCCAACGCCGGAGTCAAAACTGGGGTTTCCGCTTCGAAGTTAGAGGCGCAGCGTATATAAAAACACATTTCTGCCACGCTTCACCCAGCTGAAACTGCTGCCACGCTTAAAAACCCCCAGAAATCCCACTGGCTCATAATAATAAAAGAAAAAAAAAACCCTCAAAGGATTTGTTTCCTGGGCAAAAGACGTTCCAAGCCCATCGGCTCGTTTCGTTGCGCTTGTCCTTACGCTCCGTGAGTTATCCATCTTCCCATCGCTCTCCCTCCCCGTAGCAAGCCAAGCTGCTCCTCGTGCCGGCGGGGGGAAGCCAGCCAACTTTGGTCTCCCCTAGATTCACCGACCGCCACAGGATGGGATTAAGGTGTCTCTAACGAGGAGCGAAGGGAAGAAGGGGCGCGTAATCCCTGTCCAGAGAGCAGCTCATTTCTCCAGCCTGTTCGAAGGGGCGGAAAAGACGGAGCATTTACTGCACTCGCTTGTGCAACGTTACCGACAGGATTTCGACACGGCTCTGGTCTGAAGAAGGCGAGAGGGATGCAAGGTGAGCCTGAAGTAATCAAATGCTAATTTTCTCGGTCTTTTCAAATGAGGAATAAACGTCCCTGGCCTTTTCTAACCTATGTCATTTGGGACAGGGGCAGTTCTGCCTCTTAAGATACAAACCGACCGAGTTCACGCCAGTCCTGCGCTGGCAGCGGGACACGGTGAGATGTGAGCCGCGTCCGAGCCGAGAAAAAGAGCAGCCTGTCGAGGACACGAAGCCGTCTTTCAGCTGGACGACAAAGACCGCACCGGTCTGTCGCAAATAATCAGAGTTACTTGAGTGCAGAGCTCCAGCCGTGCACCTACACCCGACTGCGGGCGAGCAGAGGATGACGGCCACCCCACCGGCATGGGATTGCCTTCAGGAATCGGGAGAGGGCTGGAAACCCTTCTCCCCAGCAAGCTCAGAGGTGGGATGAAAGGTTTCACCGGCGAATTGGGAGCTGGAAGAGGAGATAAATATCATTCCCACCCCCTTATTGCACAGCTGCTCTGGTGGCCAAGGACAGGGAATGCTTCAAGTCCAAGCACTCACCTTGGGCAACATCAGGAACCTCCTCAGCAGCCGCTTTATCCAGCCGCCCCGTCCCTTCTCTCCCGCTCCCCATCTCAACGCCGCCTCAGCTCCCCGACCCTGGTTCCCAACCCCTGGAAAAGCTGCGATTCACCCAAATCCGGCTCCTAACAAGCCTCCAACACTCACCTGTTCTTTTCCATCTCGTTGTGTGTTGACCTGAAAAAGAAAGAACAAGTTATTAACTCCTCCGTCTGACTAGGTACACCGCAATTAGGATTAACACGAGGGCCTTAGTAAACGCTCCCCGGAAAAGTTGCAAACCTCGGGGGCTCTCAGAGCCGCTCAGTACCCTGGGGACGGCGAAAACGGTGGAAGGGACGCAGACAGCCGGGCGCAACGGAGAAATCGCCAGATAAATGGCAATAAAAGGGCCAGTAAAACCGTAAGATGGGATTTTAATGCGGAGGGGCTCAGTTTTAGAGCTAGGACTAGGATTAAGCAGCGGTATCGGTGCCATGACGCAAGAGAGGGTACGCCACCCAAAAGCGAACGCTCTCTGGGCTCGCGGTGGAGAAGGGGAAGCACCAGCCCCGAGACCCACCGCACGCTCAGGGCAGAAGGGCTGATCTCTGGGCAGGGAAGTTGCTCCATCGCAACGCAAACCCGCAACCGAGCCTCTATCGGGAAGAAAGCGGGTTTTCGGAGAGCGCAGGTGCCCTGCAGCGCTTTTTTTTGAAGCAGCTTTTTAAAGACTTCTTGCACAAGAAGGGCAGAGAAAGCAAGAGGAGTATCTGCAATTCTTGGCACGTAAAGCGAAGGGCCGGGGGCTGACGGCTCCGTGGCAGCTCCGGTGCTCGGTGCCACCTTCGGGGAAAGCACGCTGCTTTAAGGCAGCGTCCGGGCGGTCGTGTCTCGCGCCGGGAGCCCCAAACCAGCTCAAAACACGATGGCCATACAAGATGGCAGCCGGGAGCCCCCAAAGTCTTGATGGCATCCGACTTCCATGCCCACCTCCGCTGCCCAGCCAGTTGTGTCTCTGCAAAACTGGGGCGAGCTGCCAGGAAGACGACGTGTAAAGAAAAAGATTCCCCGCGTCCAACAACGGGTTAGCAGCTCCTAAAGGGAGATGCCAAACGCGATGTTGAAACCCAGGCGGCCGTTACGTCCATTTACACATTCCCCCGAAGCTCCTAATTTCGACGAAGCTAAGAAAAGGCGGAAAACGCAAGCTGCTACTTATTTTCTCTCCGTCGAAACCTGGGACAGCTACATGAGGCCACGTTGCCCGTGACACCAGGACCGACGCTTAGGGAAGAGCCGCTTCCCTGCCCGGGCTCTCCTTACGAGCTCTCATTCACGAAAAACATTGTTACGTGCCTGAAAACTTAAAGATATGAAAAACCCACAGGCTGCTCGGATAAGGACGCCCACGTGGAAGCCCCCATCGGCTCTGGGAGCGCTGGCTTCCCCCAGGCCCTGATGCCGAAGGAAAAACAAGGCATGCCACCGACGCGCCAGCCGAAGACGCTCGCCGGGGTCTTCTTCGCTTCTCTTCGCTTCGCCAGCAGCGTTTCGCGATGGATCAGCAGCGCTTGGGAAGCCACCGCAGCCCTTCTCCCGTCTTTCTAACGAGATTCATCTTAGCCCGGCTCCTTTCGTTTGATTTCTGGTGGCATTGGCTGAAGCAACCCGCTCCCAAAGGCCAGCGTCCTGCTCGCAGGCGATCGCAGAGAGTCCAAAAACGTTCGATTCTCACTTAAATGGACGGGTGTTATCCTGAAGTGCAAGGGAATGGCGAGTTCTCCCGAGCAGAGCATCTGCAAACAGCCGGGAAGGACTCGGGTCTTCGGCTCCCGTAGGATCTCTCCATTAAACTTTTTTCTGGATAGAAGTCCCGTGTTTTACAGCGAGCCCTTCGCCACGGCGCTCGCAAACCTCACGCAAGGCGATGAACTGCGGCTCCACCCTTGGTGGCAAATAAGCCAAATGCTTTTCCAAGCATCGGTACTGACAGAGATGAAGGCTCCCATCACCACTACACTTTTATTAATAACAAATTCATTCCCTCTTCCGCAGCTTTGTTCTTCATCCTTCTCAGCATGAGGGGGTTTTTTTTTGTTTGCATCCACAATCGCTAATATTTAGGAAAAGGTTCCTTAGTTGATGGATTTTAATTTTGGATAAAATAAAAGGGGAGAGGGCATCAGAGGGGACCGTAGTTTCACCCCGGGGCTGGCGGATCCTTCACTGCGTGCCCCCAGACCCTTTTCAGAGCGCCTTCATGCCCACGGAGCCGCTGGTCGTGCCTCCCGCTAACCGAAACCTCGCCTGTCAGCCCCAACACTTGAGCCGATCGCCAGCGTCGCCTTCGAAACGTCGCCTTTCCTCCCACAGACCATAACAACAGAAGGTAACGGCACGCGCTGCAGCTACCTGTTCTCTTTTTAATACCACGCAGACCTTTGTTCTGAACAACTTAAGGCTGTTCTGATTCGCCTTAAGTGAAGAACAAGCTCCAAATCTTCCAAAAAGGAAATTCGGAGCACGTGCAGGCGCGACAAACACCCACGAATTCACTCGGAGCCTGCTTGAGAGGAGACCGAGAGACCTCACCTGCCCTCGACGGGAACCCGGTGGCCCCGAAACCCCCGTGTGGGAGGGAGACGGGAACGCCCCAGCTCGGGGAGACACCAGGATTCAGGATACGAACAAAATTCACGGGGCGTTCCGGGCGGTATTTGTTGTTACGGCAGCTATCAAAGGTCAGCTGTCGCTGCGTCACGCAGACAAGTTTGCTCCCAACCAGGAAAATGTGACATATCTGGTGACATCACCGCGTTGCTCCTCCCTGGGCAAACAGCCTAAAATAGGCCAGCGAGAAAGGAAGCGATCGGCCACCAGTGACGTGTCGAGATGAACCTGCTCGGGCTGCGCTCCGCCTGACGAAGTTTCCCTCGTAGCCGTTGCGAGGGGGCTTCTGGGTGTGCCGGTCCTGGCACAGAGGCGCCATTCTGGAGCCAGCCCTCCCGAAAGTCAGCCGATAATTTCACCTCGACGATGCCCCAAGTGATTTTAACGTTATTAAAAGCGAATTATTAAACCAAATAAACCACGACGGGTGCTGGAAAGAAAGAAGTCCGCACGGTGACTCCGGTCTGCGCTGTGCCGCAAGCGCCGGCTACGAGGTGGCAGCGTCTGTCGTACAAAACAGGAGAGCGAGCGAATAAAACAAGACACGGGAGCGTTAAGTGATTAATCCGCGGGCCTGGGAGGCATAATTAAATACTCCCTGAAAAAAAAAAAAACAAACCCAAACCCCAAGCCCAGGTGGGACTTGAAAAATCTCGCTTTCTTTACGGAGAATCCTCACGGACTGAGAGCGGTTTCGCTTCCCGAGGCTTCTGCAAAGGCGACCCTGAAACCAAAAGCCCACCTGCCCCCTTCCCTTCAGCAAACCCATCCGCCACGTCAGACGATCGCATGTTTCGTACCCGAGTTTGCCCAAAACCGGAGGTTTTTCCCTCACGGGACGTTGCGGAGAGACCCCGGCCCGGCACGGTGGGCGCGCGTTGATCCCAATTCGGGAGCGGGGAGGCTCCCGGTGGAGGCGTTAGGGGACAGGCCGGGCGGTGGGGGA